GTCAATGGATGCATAGATGGGTGCAAGAGTCATTGAATGGATTGTATTCTGGGTTCATTCAGTTGGATTTTCCCTCTAATTTCTCAAATTGATGTTATATATTTCATTCGCATAACATTAAGCCAGTTCCATGGGTACACAATGAAAAATCCATCGTGAGAAAAGATGTACTAGAAAGAATGACCAATAGAATCAAATAGAAAATCCAGTTTATTGTCATTTCACTTGCTTCTTTTCACTCATTTAAAAAAGTAATGGGTTGAATGATTTGGTCATTTTGATCCCTTCAAATGCATGAGTCTAGGAAAGCCCAGGAGTCAATATATAGTTTTATTCATTAAAAAAAAAAAAGACTTCAAAAAAGAGTTCATGATAATAGAGCAGCGATAGGCAAACTATTTCCCACCAAATGTGGCCTGTTGCCTGACTCTGTATGGCACTCAAGCTGAGAATGGTTGTTACAGGTAAACATTTACAATCAATTTGATGATAGGAAGCACTAATTTGAGCTCCAGTTAGATACTTTTGAGAACCTCCACCACCATTCCACTCTTCTTATTAGTAAATTGGTTTTACTTAGTTGATTATTATTACAAAATAATTTGTACTGAATTATTTTGATTATTATTATATTTTTAATTCCATCAACCCCCAAAATGTTGGAAATTGTATTTCTTCTCACTGCATGATTTTGATAGTACCTCTTGGCCCACAAAGCCTAAATTATTTACTATCTGGATCTTTATAGGAAGATTTTGCTGACCCCTGGTCTATCGATTCTTGGTATCAGTTTTGTTTCATTCAAAACAACACACACAACAACAACAGTAATTTGGTGACATGACATTGTTAATCTCCTGTGCTTTGTCACCTTTTAAATCCAGGTGTGCTCCCGGCTATACTGGCAGCCCAAGCAGCCCCGGAGGCTCCTGCCAAGAATGTGAGTGCGACCCCTATGGCGCAATGCCTGTTCCCTGTGACCCTGTCACAGGAGTCTGCACCTGTCGACCCGGAGCCACGGGGCAGAAGTGTGACGGCTGCGAGCACTGGCATGCGCGCGAGGGCATGGAGTGTGTTTGTACGTATACTAACTTCGCTCTGCGTTCTGGGGGCCTTGGTTCCATTTCTGTCTCATTGCCAGTTGAGAGAGACTCTTTTTTTTTTTTTCTGCAGTAGCTAGTGGTACTTTTCATTCTTTCTGACACTGTCTATCCCCCTTCAGCTATTTGCCTGCTGTTTTTGTCGCCATCCTGCTGAGCCAAGAACAGCTGAGAAAATCCTCAGCGTGCTTTAGTCAGTTCATTGAAGACCTGCAACAGAAACTCCTGGAGGCATATTTCATTTTTATTTTGTCCGTCTCAGAGTTGGCATTGCCTTTGTGCCAGATTAAAGATCTGGGTTTATTAAATATTTTATAAACTTCCTGAATTGGTAATAGGCTGGACAGACACTTTAAACCTTGAATTACAACTGCCTTTTCTTTTCTTAGCTGTCACAGAAATCCATGGGTTTATTGCTTCATAACTTTCTCTTGAACTACAAAGCCTGGAAGCAGTGACAATGAACTCAAGTATTTTATTCACATGTACAATAAATGAAGAGCAGTTGTCTGGATTTCTCTCTCTCTCTCTCTCTCTCTCTCTCTCTCTCTCTCTCTCTCTCTCTCTCTGCTTCTGGATTTAGTAATGCCATAGTAAAAGTACATTGTATCAGTAGTTATATGTGCAGGTAGCCTGGTTCAGGCAAGGGAATATATATGTAGTAAGAGAAATATCTTCTGAGAAAAGCTTCTTCTGAGCTTAGAATCCACATTACCTCAAATGAAGAATAAATATAAAATGGGCTAAAAAAATGAAAACTGTAAATATATAATGTCAATAGGAGTTCTATGGCATTTATGATTGTCATATTCATCAGAAATTCTCAAGAAGAGTCCTGTCTTCTATGCAGGTAAAAAGAAAGACTAGCTGGGGTCTTAAAAATCCCTTCAAGGCCTTATAATTTTTTCCTAAGAGGAATAATTTGGGACAACACTACAATGTGTTCTTCCCTTATGCGTGTTGGTGAGTTCTGAATAGTTATTGTATTGGACTTCTCAAATTGCGACTTCTTTGTAAGTTAGGTTAATACAAATCCAATCTCCCCTTTCAATCCTCACTCATAATTTACATGTTATTTTATAAAACGAGACCAACCACCTGCCTTTCTGAAATTTGAAAATAAGTAAGATATTCATTTAATAGTAAAGTTTTATGTTTTAAACACAAAACTTGGATTTGTTCATGTCCTATTTCTTGCAGACTAGTAATTAACACAGAACAGATCATGTGATGTTTAAAATAGACTGTGAGTGGCAGATCAAAATATATTATTTTCTTAGAGAACAGAAATTAAAATCAGTAGCTGTTGGCAAGATGTTATTCCATAAAGAGTGCCTAAAATAGCATTTTACACATACCAAATTGATGCTGCCTATTTTATTCATTGCATATGAGATATGAGAAATTTATCAGCTTTATGATTTATAGTCACAATTTATATAAAATATAACATTTAAGGTATTGTTTTGCTTGCCAATGTTGCAAAAATGATCATGATGTGTATGTTTTACCTGCAACCTAAGGTAAACGTAGGTAAATGTGGTAACACACTTTAACTTTGTAAAATACTCATGTTCTAACTACTCGGTAAAACCTGAGGCCTGAAGTTTTATCCAACCTTGATACTGATCTGCAGAGACACAGTCAAGGTTATTGTTTCTAATAGCCAGTTGCCACCAAGGGTCTTATCACAATAATGCGGACGCCCTTATATATTGTCACAGTTCACTGCTATACTCTTATAATCAAAGGTGGTTACTAATGGCAGTTATTGCCCCCTATATATAAGAACAGGAATAAAATAGTGGAATGTAGTTCGTCTCTGTAAAGAAAATGGGACTTTCTATAAAAAGAGGTGATGAAAAAAAAAATCAGTTGACCGCCAGACACTATTTAATGAGCTCTCACTTTGTTTGTTGGACATGTGATCCCCTCCATCCTAGCCTTTTAAATGCCATCCTCTCTCCGCCCCCTTTTAATCCCCAAGGGCTAGTTTCTATTCAAAGGCTAGTATATCTACTGTACTTTTCTGCAACTCCGAGCCGGGGCATATCCTTCAAATCCAGGCGTCAGAGAATCTATAAAAGCAATTTCTGTTCATCCTGTTTGTACCTTCTCCACATCTGTTTTATGAGTAAAAGGTGCTGTGAGTTTCTTGTTGTCAACCTGCTTAGTGTAGGTCCAGGCTACCAACATTGTAGAAGAGCAAATTCTCTCATTCTAGGTAATTTCCCAAGTTATTTGTGATCAGTCTCAGTGGCTAGCATATCACATGGAGAAAGCTCTTCTCTTAATGGGTTAAGTAAAGAGTTGTGTTGTGGAATTGTCATACAGAGGAGGAGGCAGATCGCAATTTCCTTCATTTTTTATCAGGCTTCATTTTAAGAGTGAACTTCACTTGATTACAATTTTCACTGTGTTAGATCCAAAAATTGTATTGGATTTGAAACTATAGAGTCACATGATCTTAAAGTCAGAAGTCTTATAAGTGAGATAGTCTAATCATCTCCTTTTCTGGCGTGTCCCTGGTTTAGACCGTCTTCGGATGTGAGGAAGCACACTGTTATGAAGTGGCTCTAGAAGGCTTGAATCTTGGCAGGCCACATAAAAGTTATGAGACATTAGATTCGTTAACTTTTCTAAATTTCATTTTTCATCTGTACAGTAGAAATTAAATACTATATACATACATGCAAAGTATCTATGTGTGATAGATCCTCAAGAAATTCTAGATATTATTATCTCATAGTTATTATTTGACCATTTTTTTCAAAAGTGTGATATTTTTCTTTAAGAAAGGAAAAAAACTGTATTAATTGTAATACTCAGTATGTACTGATAACAAAAGATGAATACAAGTCTGGTTTGACTTTTGCAATTATGAAAGGTGCTCAAAATGGTCACCATCAGTGTCCAGACATTGATTACAGCAAACTACGTCTTGAGCATAGATAACATCTCTTAAAATGTGTATATATTTTGTTGGCACCTCCAGTATTTAGGTTAGGCAGAATTCTGGTATTCTATAATATTGCTAATTCTAGAATCCTCAAGTCACTGAAAACTCTTGTTATGGCCACCTTACATTTTCTCATCTCTCTAAGTTCTTCACATGGCAATATTTATAGATTCATAAATATCCTGATTGTCTCTATTTTTCTCATCTTTAAAATGAGGATACTAATAATGCTTCATAAAATTACAGCGAGCATTATTAGATAATGATGGCAAGACACAACATATTTACTGCTATGTAGTCAACATTGTATAGATAAAAGCTACCATAACATTATTATTTATAGCACTATCAAAGTTCCCATTTTTCTGAAAAGCTACACCATACTGGAACCATATTGAACTTGTTTTCTTGTATATATTTATGTACAGAATTTTGTTTACATATATATTAAATAAGATGTATATATAAATATTAAAATTAAAATATATAAATTTATATTATATATAATATAAATTTATGTGTATACATATGTGTAATGTATATATGCCATATATATATATATATGTATATAAACTTGGTACATGAACAAATTCATCAGCATTACCTAAAGCTTACAGAATACCTTTCTCCCTATTCAAAGAAATAACAGACAAAAGAAAAAATAAAGTCTTAATCAGTTGAAAACCAAATTTTTATTTTTGAAGATATTTATTTATATGTAATAATAAGCCCTAAATATGCGCTAATCTAAATGTTTCTTCTTAAAAGGGAAAGAGAAAAGAGAGAAACATAAAATCCATATTCAAGGAACGATCAATGGCCTCAATGTAAAAGAATTCAACTAAAACATGCTTATTAACACACACGTTTTATCTTTTGTTGGAAATGCATATTTACTCATTTTATCCCTATTTGATTAGAGCAGACAATTTATGTATTTTTAGCTAAAATTGGTTAATAGGTTTGGCCTTTTCAAAAATCCTCAATGCACTCATTTCAGCTTGAGCTTCTTTGGCTTGGATGCAGTGTGCGAATTTTTTGTGACAGTAAGCCAGTAGTTATTATGCATGGGGGACTCTGGTAAAAGTGCAGTATTTTGTACTAATTGCTAACAGAAAGATCTGTAATATCAGCTGCATGATTTGCCCCTTACATGTGCCCAGCTTTAATGATCTGAATTTAGTACTGTATTTGTTAATATTAGACACAAACTTATCCTGACACTTTTATAGGCAAAGTCTCAAAAACATTTAGTCATGTGAAATATAATCATAGTCTTGAAATATTTGCTTTTGCTCCCATGCCTTTTAGGCAGGATATCACTTTATAATCTTGCGTGTATCTTGGTTGCTGAATAGGAGAATGGTTTAGAGGGATTTTAAGGGGTCCTGATGATAAGGTAGGTGTTTAATATACACTGAGCAGTTATTGCACCTTAACCAAAAAATCAATTGCTTACATAATGTGAATATTCCATGTCTCTATACACCCTTCCCTGTCATCCCTGTCATAGTGAATTAAATGTGGTTTTCATTTGTATCTCATTTTTATAGCTTGTTGCTAGACATTTCAGTGTTTCTGGGGGCAAATAAAAGTAGCTTGTGGTATAAGTAAAATAGTTTGTGTCAGAATAAAATAGCAAGTCATTATGTAGAAGGCACATTTCCCCATGTGTTTATCTTATAGCTGCATAAATTAGACTTATACAGAAGCTTTGAAAAAAAAATCCCCACAACTGTCATATTCATAAGTCTTTTCAACCCATTTGGACAGATGTTAGTATATTACTTGGTGCATATATAAAACTTACCCTTCATTTATGGAAATGCGCTTGTACTTTATTCCTCAAAAAGCAAATACAGAGACTATAAGACATGAGATAATAAAGGACCTTTGGACACAGAGACGTAGAGTCGAATGTACGAGTTCTTGAAAGGGCAATTAAATGCATTTTTATTTCAACAACTGAAGATGAGAAACCAAAACAGATGGGCAGGGGGTAGAGTAAATGAGAGAAAACTTAGTATTCATCATGCCTCTTGGCATTCTAGTTTACCAATTTGCTCTGTAGTATATTACAGTAAATCAGATCTAGCTCTGCATTCCAGTGGCTGATTTATTCTTGTATGAAGTAAAAACTGAGAAAACTTTTCCCTGGAAACTTCTGGAACCATCAGTAAGGAACCTCTATCCCATTGTCAATGAGCTGACAATTTCTTTTTGGAAATAAAAGGTTATAAATTATAATAGATTAGAAAAAGGGGCTAGCACAGGATTCCTAAAGAACGCACTGCCCTAAAACAGCTGGTAAGATATCATACTATCAAGTATCTTTCAAGATCTTAAAATGGAAAAAATAATATTTGCTTCCTTATATCCTGAGAACATCTGCTACAAATACATCTATACTAGACATTAAACAGAATTTTTAAAACAATGATGAACTTTGGACTCAGTGAGAAAGGAACCTTTGTTTTCTTCATAACCTTTAAAAAAATTGAGTTGTTACAAATACTTGCTTTTTAATCTATGGATTGCAAGTTATAAGTTTCTGATCTGAATTTACCCTCTAAATCACACATAAAATCATTATAAAGTTTGGGAAAGTGTATTAGTTATCTATTGCCGCCATTCCAAAATCCAATAGCTTAAAAAAACAACAGTATATATCCTCAAGATTCTGTAGGTTGGCAATTTGCACTGAGCTTCAATGGATAATTCTTTTGTTGTCATGCCTGGTGGGGTCCCAGATGGCCTCAATCACATGATGGGGCCGCAGCAAGAATGATGGGAGGCCTGCCTTTCTCGCCTCAAGTCACCTTTCTTCCTCAAGGAGGCTATACTGGGATTGTTTACAAGGCAAGCAGGGTTCCAAGAAAGTGGAAGCAAGAGCTGCAAACCCCTTGAAGCTGAGGCTCAAGAATCACACAGTGTCCCTCAGAGTGTGTCATAAAGCAAGCCCAGGTACAAGGGGGGCAAATAGACTCTACCTCTTAATGGCAGGAGCAGCAGAGAAATGATGACCATTTTTATTGCACCCCAGGAATGAGCATTGCCTTTATCTGTTCAGTAAACCAGCTGTGTTGTTTCTTTCTTGATAACATTTTTCATCTTTTTTCTTTCCCTCCATCCCTCTATTCTAATACCTCTTTCCTGGATCAAAACTGAATTACCTCGTGAAAGTATCATAACAGTCATCTATCTTCTTGGCATCAATCACTTTCTGCCTTTTCACTCATAAGACAATTTTCTTCCTCTACCCATTGTTTTTATTCTATTCTCCAGTTCCTCATACATCTGCCTGGTTCTCCATTTCCTAACACATAGCGTGTTCTCACATTCAGGTGTTTCCCATTTGGCCAATCTCTCCCTATCTCCCTTTGCCCCTCTGTCCTTCTATCCCTCCATCCTCCCCCTTCTCCCTTTCTCCCCCTTTCTCCTTCTCTCCCTCTCTCAGTTCTTCAAATTGTTTGATCATCTCTGAAATATTTCTTGTTTGTCTTTCACAGACAGAACAACTATTTATTGATTGTTTATTATGCAGAAGACAATCTCCTAGGCACTGTAACCAAAGGTGATTCAGGTCCCTTCTCTGGTGAGGGAGTAACAAAATGTAAATAAAGTAATAGGATAGCCTACAAATGCATGAGTGTTGAGGTAACAAGACAAAAGGAATACTGGAGTGATGGGTGAGGACAATAATTGCAGAGTCATCACAGACTCCCCCACAGAGGAAATAACTCTTGAGCACTTGACCTCAATATCCAGGAGCCACATACGGGGCGATGGAGGGAGATGAGTTCTAGGCAGAGGAGACAGCAAGCAAAATGATGTCTTCTGAATCCTTGCCCCTTTGGGACTGAGTATCCCTAAAGTTCACATCTGGTCCAGTGGTTCCAAACCCTGGCTGCATGATAGCGTCATCTGGAATCATTTAAAAAATACAGATGCCTGGACTTACCACAGACCCATCACATCAGATTCTCTGGAGGTGAGGAGGAAAAGCGCCTGGCTATCTATATGTTACAAAACCCATTTGATTCTAATGTGCAGCCCAAATTGAGAACCACCGATCTACAGCAGTGCTTTTCAAACATTAGCATTCATAGATCACATGGGAATCATTCTAAAATGCAGATTCTGATTCACCAGATCTGGGGTAAGCCTAAGGTTATGCATTTGTAATAAGTTCCCAGGTGACGCCACTGCTGCCAGTCCAGTTGCCACTCCAAATGTGGTGCACAGACCAAGAGTATCAGTATTCACCTGGGAACTTATTAGAAAAGCACATTCTCCATCAGAGAATCAGAAACCAGGGGATTCCATCGCCTCTGGAATCAGAAACACTGAGGTATGGCCTGGTCTTATGTGATTTAAGGATGTCCTTCCGTGATTCCAAGACCCACTGAAGTTTGGGAACCAGACTGTGTCTTGGTGTTAAGACAAAGTTCATTTGGCACCTAATTGTGATTCAGGTTGTGTTTCCTCTAATTGTTTCATGTAGACAGGTCTGTTGAAGCCTCCCAAGCACTGGCATTGACCTGAGGGGGTGACGCCACAACGCTCTCTTTTTGTCACTCATTTTCCACGCAGAGCAAATTCTCTTTCATTCTGGTTGGGAGAAGAGGGGGAGATGCAGCTCTCATTCCAGGTTGCAGCTCCTTGGTTCACTCAGCTTGTAAGGCCACAGGAGCTGGTGAAGTCCCTGCAGGTGATGCTCTACCATTACAGGTGGCACCTGCAAGGATGTGATTTGTTAGAAGCCCTGCTGCAGCGGTTTAATTCCTGAGAAGGGATATTGTAACTCACCTTTAACTGCTGTCCTATCGAAAAATCACCCTCTTGACTGCTTCTCTTTGTTTACAAGCTTCAGTTAATGGTTTTCTCTCCATTAGACAGCTCAGAGGAGTGCTGTTTAGAGAACTAATTGAATTCTTACCAGTTTGAGGCATGATCCAAAGCTGCTCCAATCTCCATATTTTCTGTTATGTATTTTCCTCTCTTTTAACATGTGTGTAGTTTTGATGCCTCTATCTACAGTGTATGCAGTAGCAATTATATAACTATACATGAATGCATATCATGAATATGGCAATCCTTGCTCTTGGCATGGAGAAGCTATGCCTCATTGACGCTGAGGCAAAGAGTAAAAAGAAATTTTTGAGCTAAGTGTAAACTGAATATATTTTTAAATCCTCCGAAAGAATCAATATATTTTAATTTTAGAAATTGCACTATTTATGAGATTATTTTGATAATAAAGAAACAATTCATTTTTCTCTCCACCAACTCTACTACTAGCCCCTCTCCACCACCACCAAATTTAAACACTGCCTCTTTCTAATCATTGAAAAGATTGTGGGTAGAACATCAGCACCCTTGGCTACTTAAAGAATATTTTCTTTCCTGGCCCTTAACAATTCTTTATCTACAAGACTATATTAGGTTAATCATCAAAGTAGTAATTTGTGGGATTACATCCAATCATAGATGACAATGTGCTGAAAGGCCAAAGAGGAAGAGTTGACAAATAGATAAATAAGTAAATACGTAAATAAATATCATTGTGAGGAAAAAATTATAAAAGGAAAAGTTCTTTCTTTTGAATTAAAAAAAATCTTCTCAATATATGTCAAGCTAAACAACACAAACAAAAAGCACAGAGTTTTTGGACATGAAGCATGAAGACCCAATTGCTATAGATATTCCACAGTGTGATCTAATGTAGCATTGTACACCTGCATGCATTTTTAAGCTCTTGTTTTATTCCCTAGTTGCAGATTTCCTCTAGATGGCTCATGTGGGAATGTCTGGGCATTATAATGTTATAGTTCACATTTTACCTCTCCTCTAATACTTCTTCAATACATTTGTTTCCCTCAAAATCCATTTGTTCCTCCTCTCTGGTTCCTCTGTTTATATCATCATCCGTATTTCAGGTCCTGGGCAACAGGCAATAATGGCTCTTTTGTTGTTCTTTTTATCTTTTCTCAACTGTCACTCATTCAAAAACATTAATTATATGAGATTAGTAGCATCCTCTTCCACAGAATTATGCATGGGCCATAAAATATTTCATAGCTGAAACCTTTGAACATCGGCCTGGGATGCTTAGCAGAAGTAAATATTCTGTCGTTTGCCTTTCACAGTTTGCGGAGATGAATGCACGGGCCTGCTTCTCGGTGACTTGGCTCGTCTGGAGCAGATGGCCCTGAGCATCAACCTCACTGGCCCATTGCCTGCTCCATATAAAATTCTGTATGGCCTTGAAAATAGGACTCAGGAACTAAAGGTAGGTGGGAGCAGTAACAGCAAGAGCCAGGGAAACGATGGCAGAAGCTTCTTTAAGGATTGGTACATGTGCTTCCCAATGCCCCACATCAAAGCAAGCACCTGTTAGGGAAATTCAGAGACGGTCTTAAGCAGCGCTTTTCAAGCTGGAGAACTTTAATATACAGATTGTTATTAAGGAAAAGAGGCCCACGTACCCCCCAGTGTTCGCCCTAAATCACTTTTATTATGTTACTTAAATATGTACAAACATAAAATCAGGTATGAAGTCCTTATACTTATAGCTCTATAAAATCAAAACACATTCATCCTTACAAAAACCTAAAAACCAATAAAATCAAATTAAAAACATTAATATAAAATAATGGATGAGTTTTGCTTACAGCAGGCTGCTGCTTGCAACAAGAGTATGATACAGACTCCTTCCACGTAGGTTCTTTCATCTGCATGTGGCACGTGTTAACTTCCTTCCCCTACCTTTCCACAATTTGAACTAGAGAGCCCTTGCAGAGTGTCCTAAATAACATTTGGCATCAGTTGACCAGTTAAAATGATTTATGTGCTCAATCTCCCATATGATCAAACATGCATGCAAATGTAGGTTCTGAAATCAGGTGGTCCTTCCATCTCTCAGGTGCTCAGCCTGGGTTCCAGAAAGTCTTATGTTAACATTTCAGTTGATTGGCAAGATGAAAACACAAAATTAAAATTTTGTACTAGAGAACAAGTAGATTTTACAAAGTACTTCATTAAGAACTGATTTGAGAAACCCTATTCTAGAACATAAAGCTTTCATTATTTAATGAAATAGGAAGAAATGTTAAGAAAACTGAGGTTCATCTGATGAAAGATGACTACATATACCCTATCAGTCAATTATCAGATATTAATTGGGAGATTCAGGGATGCCCCAGTATTGTACTACGTTCCCTGGGGGTTTCATGATTTCTATAATGTAGCCATTACCCCCAGGAAGCTTAGAGTCTATGATTAAAAAAAGTAATTAAACATTTAGCAAAAGTACATAATTACCATGTGTTTTTTAAAAATTTTTGACATAAAATATGTACAAAGATAGAGAAAAAGGCAAGATTCAGAGTAACCAGGGAATGCATTATTAATGAGAATGTAACTTGTGTTGGAACTTGAAAAATAGACTTTGAATAGGCAGAGAAATATTTGTGAGGAGTGGGCACTGTAAGAATATAGGGAATATATTCTTTAATCTGGACCATGGCTTTTAAGATAAGAATTTTATTCCTGTTTAACAGAAGAAACCAATAATGATGATAGCAAGAATAACTAACATTTATTGATAGATATCTCTGTGCTAGCCAACTGACCAGCCTTACATGAATTATCATACATAAATCTTAAAAACAACAACAACAACAACAACAAAGAAAAGAAAAAAACCACTCCAAAAAGTAGGAAACAAGTACTGTATCATTTATATTTTTTCAGGTAGGGAAAAGAAGTAACATGTGAGACACAGTCACATGGCCTGTAGGTGTAAAGCTAGGATTCAAACAGAGGCAGTATTGCTTTAGGGCCTGCAAGAATGAAACCACCTTTGCAAAGCGCAGAGAGAGAAAATAACTTGCCTGGGACGACTCAGTATGCCAGTGGTGAGGTCTCCCTGATCCCTGGCCTGTATGTACTCGTGCCATTGAATCTAAGAGAGCCACAGGAGCAGAGGCAGAGGTGTGAATTAGCAAGGCCTATCTGGCAGACATTAGAAGTCAGGCCTGCTAACGAAAGATAATGGCTGGAGACCTGAATGGGGCAGGGTCATATGAAGGACAACCTTGAAAGTCAGGCAGAGGTATCTGAAGTTTCCATGACAGGCCCAGTATTCAGGAATGGGAAGCGTTTTAGTAAAGAAGATTCTGACCAGTTATTTTCCATATACATGGAGGGAATACAAAGAAAGAAAGTGAAACTAGAAAAGCAAACACTTCAAGTAGGACAATCTTTTGAATAATGCTTAAGTAATGGATGAAATACTCTTCCTATCGGAAGAGGTTCCAATCTGAGGTCACCATCTAAGCCCGGGGATTCAGTCACCTACTTCCTTATGGCTGGATGGGCAAAATGACCTTGATTTTCCTTAAATTCCAATCTTTCTTGATTCTGTGTTTGTGTTCTTCTATAATTCATTTACTATCTGGATACTTTGAATCCCATTTTGATGTTTTAAAACCTTAAGCAAGTGATTTACCTTCTTTGTTCAGTTCCTTTAACTGTGTCAGTGCTCCCTGGGTTCCAGCCAGAGACCACCAGGAACACACATGTGATAGAACAAAATTGGGTTTATTAACTCATTGCAACAAGAAGGGACGCTGCACACCACAGGGCATTCTGGGTGTCTCAAAAAGAGGGCATTAGGAATAACTTACTAGTATTTGGGTTTGTGCCAGGCAATTTGGGGCAGGTTCAAGGAAGTAGGAATTTGCTGGATTGGGTGCTATTAGGAAGTGGGAGTAATTCCATAATCAAGTATTCTCAGGAATCTTATCTAGAAGGAGGGAAGCACAAAGGGAGGCGAAAGTCACAATTAGGAAGGCGGCAGTGGTGACTGGAATCAGCCAGGAAGTGGGATTTGGGTACTTTTGTGTTCTGCACAGAGACCATGGTTTTGTCTGTGCTTAGACAAAGATTATGGAGTGGTCTTATTCTATTTCATTGATCACTGTCACAGAGTGCCCCTGTCTAGTGTTAATGTTCTGTGAGATTGATTATGTTCAGTGGGAGAAGAAAATGGCTTAGCTGTGAGTGCCAGGCCAGCTCCTCCCAACACTGAGGTCAGGCCAGTGAGTTAGTGCCTGGCCAGTTCTGTCTGTCAAGGACCACTGTCCTCTTTTTAAACTGTAAATAGTGTCTGTGGTGATTTAAATGGCAGCCTTAAAGAATCAGCCTTCATCGTGACTCTACCTCTTACTGGCTGTGTGATCTTATGTAAGTTTTTAACTCTTTTCAAGCCATGGTTTCCTCATACATAAAATGAAATAACGTTTACCTCATAGAGCTGTCATGAGAATTAAGTGAAAGGAAAAAAAAAGACTGGCATATAGTAATTTCTCAATAAATTACTGCAATTTGTATTATTTGCCAGAATCTTCCACACCGTGCTTTGTGTATACGTGCCCAATTGAAATGGTTTGTTTCTCTTTGCTTCAAAGGTGAGAAGGCTAAGTTTTTTGTATGTACAGCAGAAATGTATTCTGCTAAAAGTTCAAGCTCCTGACCAATGCAAAACCATTTACTAAAATGTATAAATGAATGAAATCTTTTTTAGCACTTGCTTTCACCTCAGAGGGCCCCAGAGAGGCTCATTCAGTTGGCGGAGGGCAACCTGAATACGCTTGTGACAGAAATGAATGAGCTTCTGACCAGGGTAAGTTGGCAAAATCATAAATCTTTTTAAAGCAGAAAGATCATGTAAATTAAGAAAAATTACTTCAAATTTCTGAAATGCAAATCTTGTTCTTCCGAATTCCCATTTTGGTGCATGAAATAGATGTATTTTTGACTTGCTACTTCTACCTCAAATAAAATCTGAGAATCCAGTAGTACAACAAAAGTTGGAATACTTGGGAAGTGTCAAGAACAGTGGCTAAAAATATCAGAATGACAGTATATTTTGAAAACTATAACCAGTAGCTCCCATGGTAAAGTTTTTTATCAATTCTGAATTTCAAAAGCACTTTACACAGTCTTTGACTGTGTAAAGAAAAAGAAAAACAAATGACAATACTTGTAGTCTCTTTGAACTCATCATGGGATTTTTGCATTTGTATAGAAATACAATCTAAATCAGTATTTTCACACAAGAGGAAATCTTCTTTATTGTGAAAAATCAAAGTGTTCAAGACACTTTTTAGAGTCAGAATGTAAAGTCCATGTTGCATGTAATAGACTTTTTAAGGACTTGGGAGTTTTAAATCTTCAAAGCTGAAAGAGGGTTGAGGTTCTTTTTGCTGGTAGAGAATGAAGAAAACAACATAAAGTCCGCCATCTTGTGGCCAGAAAAATGCATGAACAGGAAAATTGGCCTGTAATTCAGGGATGCAGTTTGATTATCTAATGGCATTAAATGACAAAGAATATTGGAATGAAAAGGTTCTTACAGATTATGTAGTCCATTTTTCCTTTTTTTTTTTAGGACAGATACCTCAGACCATGATACTGAAGTGAATTATTAATGGCCATACAATTCACTAAACCCAGGGACCTAAGCAAGCCCACTGTCCTGGTAGTTTCTGCCTCACCTGCTGCTGGTTTAGGAAAATTTCCATGGGGAAATCAAATGGGCTTCAGAACACATAATGCTAAACAATGGCCCTGATGTTACAGATAGCATAGTAAACGCTTTTTTCCTAATCTCATACCAGCAATGTGAAATGTCCAAATACACAATAGTTTCTTGCCAAATGTAGTTAGATATTAGAGTAATGAGTACATCTCATATTAATTTAATATTTAATAATTTCTATTTGTTAGGTGAATACAACTACGTAAGAAATTTTAAAAGTGTAGCACAGTGAACTCAATTCAACAAGTACATATAATATTCGCCACATACGAAGTCCAAGTTAGGTGTTGGAAGATGAAAGACACAAATGAGTGTCAGTCTCTGTACTCAAGGAGATTGCAATCTTGTGTGTGTGTGTGTGTGTGTGTGTGTGTGTGTGTGTGTGTGTGTTGTGTACATAAGCATTTAGGCATTGGGGAAAACTGCAAGTAAATATACAATACAACCTGAAATAAAATAATGACATGTACCTGAGAAA